AAAGGTTTGAAAAAGGTACGTCTAATTTCGGTAGAAGTGCGTGGATTTCGTTTCAAAAGGTCATCGGGATTGAAAGGGAATTACCATAGCATAAAATGCAAAAACTGCGTTGCCGCGTTCTCAGAGGGAGACGGCATATGACCTTCAGTCGTGAAGGTCGCCGCCTGTCCATCCCTGTCCTGTCTTGCGGCAACGTAATTTTTGCTTCATGTTATTACGAGTTCCCGAATTTCAGAACCCCTTGAAGATGTTTCAAATGTAAATAAACCATTGTAAAGCTTATTCATTCCTCTTTTGAATGCTGCAAACCGCATTAAAATATATTCTGTGAGTGCAGTATAGTTTACCGTTGAAAATTGTCATTTTTTGGCCCACCCAGTATAGTGGGAGCCCTACGCGTAAAGTGCGACACCATTTTCCTTTCTCCTCCCAACAAGCCAAGGAGAGAGAGATATTCTGAAAATATGAATTGGATCGGGGTGGAAATGACGTTGCTTTTCATGCGGATCTCCCACTTATGAGCTACTTATGAACCCTTTATCTTTCCCCTCTTTCTTCCACATTGCATATACGCATATTCATACTCGTGCATACTCATATCAGTGAATCAATACTATTTATTCGCAGGAGTTATTACAATAACTGGTCAAGTTAATATCACCTCGAAGAACTTTGTAGTGGGTTCAGTAGGAAACAATAAAAAAGGGGCCACTGTAGAATACATTTTCGTTAACTTTTCCTTGAACTCGCTGGAAGCCTTGGTCTACCTACCGTAGAAGAGGACTGACTCTATCCTACTTCGTGTTGTGAAAGTTATTTCAAGGTAGGAACTAGATTTCATCACCTCCCAATGTGTATTTCAGTTACTGCGATGTTAGTTGTCTGTTCTGGCCGCTCTTCGTATCACACCGACCCTTGCACCTTCAAACTATGCGGACTAAATGTTTGAGTTTCTTTTCATCGCTTTGTTTTCATCTTAACGTGATGTTTTAAAATTGAGCTATTTGTTAGGTCAAGGATGAATTCTCATTTATTGCACCAATTGCAGCAGCTTTCGAAGTGGTAATGCCTTTCCTTTTCCCTGTCACCATCATAAATGACTCTGAAGGAAGTCTTATTGGCATCATTTTTCATTAAAATGCTTTCAGTCTGGAACACGAACAATTATCGTTGAACATATCGTTGAACAACATGAAGTTGAAAAATACGCCTCTGCTCATTTACAGGAACACAAACGCGCTGGAGATGCATGAAGTCGCCCAGTGTCTCTTAGCACAGATTCCATCCTATCTCTCTCCAATCATCATATCTGCTTGATGCAGGCATATGAGCGAAGGTTGTACGGTGCCACGTGAAAATAAAATTAATCAAAACGCACTCTTCCATTATTCTTCTTTTCAACTGAACTTTCTGCTAAGTTCCTGCAGGTAATATTAATTTAACAAGCCACTGTATATCATATACGTAAAAAAAAGGTACGGCCCAACCTAAAGCTGGAATGCGTTCCAATAACTCAACTAAAAGAATGCCCTTTTAAAGTCCTAAGTCCGAATTCGACTTCCTCTTAACCTTTTAAGCAGTATGGACAAGTAAACACGTCCTGACCAAGGCAGCTCAGAGGGAGTGACTCACTCTCACAATACTCACGCGTTCTTAACAAAGGAGTGCTTTCAATGCGACAATGAAAATATACGATATTTAAGCCCTAGCACTGAACCTGAGCATTGTTGCGAAAATTTTCAAACACGCTGCGAAAAATCATTCCTGCAGGATCACCCAGGTTAGAAAGAACTCACTGCTTAATGTGACCACTTCCACTTTCTAATGGGAAACAAGGTATAATTCACCCAAAAATGGAACAGAGATGGCGCTATACAGGCTATACCTATGCATGTATGTTGTAAGTACACTAGCGCCTTCTTTCGATTTCATTTTTGGATGAGCTAACAGGCTCAGCCAAGAAAAGACATTTCGAGGGCTTCTCCTCCCGACCCCCCCTGACCTGAGGCAATGTATTCAATGTAATCCATAATGAAACAAACATAACCTAACCTAGCCCAACTTACGCTAATCTGCTTAACCCAAAGACAAAGGAGATAAGAGGAAGACCGAAACTTGAACACTTCAGTGCCCTTTAACCTAACCTGGCCTACCTCATCTAGCCTCATCATCCGACCCGATTTAGCCTGACATGACTGAGCCAGAGCGCACGCTACCCTAAATAAATAAAAACGCCCTGTCTCAATCGTAAAAGCATACAGGTGAAAACCATGTCGCCACTGCAGGAGGCCGCGTGTGCAGCTGCTCGCATGCGCGGGGAATCAGGGTTGCCGGACATCCGCTTTGGAATTTTCAGAACCGGACCGGGAAAGGGGGAGAGAGAAAAACGGTGTTGCTATTGAAGAAAAACTTGGTGAGTTCCGGTTCATATATGCAAATATACAAGCAAAAAATATAAAATAATAACAGTAAAACATAACAAACTGGGAACAGGGAAATGCTCAAAGGAACAATATTACAAAATCCAGCTGACAACGAACTTGTCAGCTGGATCCACGATGGGAAAATAGTTATTTCGAACAAATTTTGAAGAACGATGCCCCCCCCACTCCCCGCTTGCAACGAAATTTATTTGACATCGCAGGAAGCTACGTGGAAGCAGGCAGAGGAACAAGGCGCGCGGTGTCGAGGAAAATAGCGCGATGGCACAGGTAGAGAAAGCGGGTGGGTTCCATTCGCTCTTCAATGAGCAAACACGTACATTTTCCCACTGCGACTCGATTGTCCATCCTCTCATTCCCAGGAAGCTAATTCGATGGTCTCGTCCTTCCCGTTTACGTGTTCCCTCACACCTCTTTTTAATTTGTTACCGGCTTAGCCTACAAGAACACGACATACACCAGATCTCCGGGCCTGGAGAGAGGGGACAGAAGAAACGTCAACGTTGATGGATCAGCATTAGATTTAATCGTACTTCCATCTGCCTTGGGGAAAACGTAGCATGGCCTGCTGAGGGGAAACACAGGCAGCAGCGGGGATTAAAAACTCGTCAGCATTGAGCATGGTAGCATGCATTACAACCTGAATCAACTGAGAATAGGTCCGTGAAAATCAAATCAAATCAAGACCACTAACGGAAATGGCAACATCCGTTACAACAGTCCTCCCTTACAGCAAAGTGTTTTTCACGGTCCCCTGCCCCTTCATCATTACGGAGTTTTCCTGTACGAGGAGGAAGGAGGGATTCTTTAGTTTCTCTTTATAATTTCGATTAGATTCGTATAAAATACCTCTGCAGGCAATCTCCATTTAAAGTTCAAAGGAGGATTGCAATCGCTAATCTATTTTATTTATATTGGTGATAAAGGATTTCCATGAGTTTTCTGATACGATTGTATTACGGTTCATATCAGAGAATATTGGTTTCATGGTCGAGTCAAGGTTCATGGAAATCACCCCATTACGGTCATTTGCTGTATCACGTAACTAAGCATGAAGTCAAAGAAAAACGAAGTTAATGATTCGGCAGATCAGACTCATCCCCGAGCTCTTTCTTCCGCCTGGTGTCGGGGATTATAAATATTCCCTCGGCAGGCAAACTGAACTGCAACGCAATACCAAAAGGAATGCCTTCGATTAATCTCGACATCCAAGGCATGATGCCTTAATGCGGGGGAGAGTAAAGAAGAAAAAGTATAAGAAGGAATGTTAGGAAGTCTTTTGATAAAGGACAATGAAGTCTCTATCTTTCAGAGAATTCTTTCTTCCAGGTATTCAGAGAAGAATCGTCTTTCTTCCTTTCCTCATCCTCCTTTCGTCAACGCGGCTTAAATATGGTTCTCAGGCTTCCTGGCTTTCGCATCGTCCGGGAACATACGGAGTTCGACGCCTCAAGTAAGTTGACAGAACAGCTCCCAACCGGAGAAATTGAACGATTTTGATGTCTGGACTGCCCCAGTCGCACCCTCGTCAGTTTACTCCTTTGTCTTTCTCTGCCATCCCAGGCTCAGTCTTGATGGAGTGGAGCGTGAAGGAGGGGAAGCTTTTAGGTTCGCCGGTGCAGGTTCGACTGGAATTCCAGGGCTGGAATTGTCAGCAAGGATTGAATGCGTGGAAGTTTCCGAAAGCCCAGTAGTTCGATGATGGTGGCATGGACAAACAGGATTTCCGTCGAAAAATACGAAAAGATCCAAAACTGCAGAAAGTTACTGTAACGAAACCACGGAGAACATGGTCCATAATAAGAGATCGTCACGTCTGAGTGCTCAATCGCCAGTGTCGCTCAACTCGAAACTCGACGAAAACTGCAAATCGGACAGGCGTAAGCTCAAATAATTCCCTATACTGTACAGTGAAACTTCTTCGATTCCCTTCCTCGACCCCAAAAATATATCTTTCCTGCATTAGCTCTCCTGTACTTATAATTTTTGTATATAATACAGTTCTCACCTTTGTTCGCTTTAGTCCTTCGGAAAGCCATGCGAGCACACTCACTCGAACAAAGGCAACACTCTCGCCGTAGAGCACACAACGCATTGTAAGGTGAAAGTGGAAGGGATCGCATCGTTTCCCCGTGACAAGGTCAAGAGCATCCAGCTTTCCCGCCATTAGCCCTGCGGCTTTGGAGTACGTGCTTCTGCGGTTCTGACCCATGTATTATCAGATGTCAGATCAGTTTTGGATTGTAGCCAAAAAAAACCTCAACTCTTGCCGGGGGGGAGGGGGAATCGTTGACAGAAAAAGAGGTGCGGAGGTGAATGAATCCATTTATTGATAATTCTTGGTCCATATATTCAATAGTTATGAGGTATGCTGTTGTATGAACTGGAGCCGAATTCATGGGGAAACCTCTCTTTATTCTCTCTTCTAACAACACAACAAGTTTTTCAGCTTGTTGGCAGCAATGCCGTACGAAGACCCAAACCTCCATTTCATTGCAAACTTAAATATTTTATTTAAAAAAAAAAACAAGGAATTTGGCCAACATCGATGCGAGAGATGATGATGGCAAAAATGGCACCCCTGGCGGACGAATGAGAACGATGGGGGGTTGACGATCGACGGCAAGAGTTTGAAAAATCCCCGTCCTAATCCTGCGGAACTGATTTTACAAGGTGATGCAGCAAACGGTGAAAAAGCGGATATGCAACAGAAGCAGAAGACGAATAGACGAGGAAAACGGGACAGAAGAAAAGGGCCTCTATGTATTGAGAAGGAAGAATACGCGTCTTCCTTAGGAAGACCTAGTTTGTGCACAAGCACGCGCCATGGGACAAAGATCCGACGCGACGATAGAAAGATGAAACGTTATCATGCCGAGAAAGAGAAGCGCGGTGTGAAATACTTTCGCCACAATTTAGTCTCATTTTCCATTCGGTTCTAGGAAAGACACCAATTGCAAACTTTCTACTGTCAAAACTTGAAGAAGTTACGTGCAGATGGAAAAATCACAGTCGCTCTTTCTTTATAAAAGCATAGGACAGCGCACCTAGAGAGAAAAACCTGCCGAATAAACCACGTCAGGTCGAGCCAGCGACTGCTGATATGAAGGAAGGATGGAAAAGAAAGATAAGTCGTTTTTCTTCACCAAACTTTGCACCGTGTTTCGGGATTGTAGGGTGTGCCGAGAGCGCATTTGAAATCTTGTGCAAATTCGGGTGTGTTTTGGAACGGACCACGAACGCGGAATTCGGCCGGAGAGTGTTTCCCGGTCAGGATACGGTACTTGAGAGCCTCGTTTCGATATTTGGTGCACCACACGTTCGCCGCCGAAATCCAGAACAGCTGCCGAGGGTTCAGGTGCTGCAGTCATGCAAAAAAAGAACATTTTTCCTCTCCTCACTCTATGCTCCATCGCATTCGATGCAATGGTTGGTTAATAATGTATACAAGAGGATTGGGATTACCTGTAAGCCAGGGAGCCGTTGTTCTTCGCCGTATTTCTCGCTCCACTCCAAGTAAGCGCGATACGCCTCCTTGATCCCTCCATTGTCGGCAATGTTCTCGCCTTGGGTGTTGATGCCGTTCAGCTGCAAACCATCGCCGCATCCCCAGTCTCCATTATCATCACCAGTTTTCTTTTATGACTTCCCTGTTGTGTTGTGTTCGTGAGAAGCTTGGCCGGAGAGCTTCATGCAACAGGAGTGCATGTCTTCCGTCATGCTTAAAGCATTCAGTCAGCGTGAGAAACGAAATGGTTATTCAAATTCCTTTTAGAGAAGGACTCGCGTCCCATGATGAACGCCCACAGGCAAAATTTCCAGTTTCTTGCTCGGAAGAGAAGGAGGAATTAGGTATTCCCAAGCAACTGGACTTGGGTTTGCTGTCATTCGATGCAAAGAAAGATCTCAAGCACGCAAGAGTTCCTTTAGTGAGAGAAAGAAATGAAAGCAAGTAGACTGCCAGAAAGGGGAAACACCCAGTTTTCCTTCATCACACACCACCAAGAATCGGTAACCACAGATACATCTTTGGCATAGAATCGCACGGTGACATCACGCCACGCAAGGTGATACCGGGTCGGGTCGGGTAGGGTCGGGTCGGGTCGTGTCGTGTCGGGTCTGATCGTGTCTGATCTGGTCGAATCAGGTCACCAGACCTCACACTTGAACGAGGGATTTAGGTTCGTGCCCTTTCGGCATTTGAAGTCCCGGGCGAAGTCTGGGAGATTGGAAAAGGGGCCCTTGATGCGAAACATAGCCGGGGCGTGGGGGTCGGAATAGACCTGTAGTCGCTGTTGTTCCGGACGGTACTTAGAGCACCATACGTTTGCTGCCGAGATCCAAAACATTTGCCGAGGAGAGAAGTCGAGGAGACCCGGTAAACAGGGCTCCACTTCCTCCTCCCCCTGCCGGTGTCTTTCCCTTTCTACCCAGCGAAGATATCCCCGATAGGCCTGCTTCAGGCCTCCGTTGTCCGCTATGTTCTCCCCCACCGTCAGCTCACCGTTCACCTACATTCGTTCCTCACCCCGTCCATTCGAGGGTGAGGGTGAGGGTGAGCGTAAGCCAAAAGCAAAGTATGCATGCAATCGATCCCTCCAAGGAAAACTCTGCTTCCGTTACCACTTTGTTTCCATTTTATCTTCCCGCATCACAGAACTCTAACTTCCACGTGCTCGTTTATTTTACTTTTGTTTAAAATTCTCTTTTTTCCGTTACTTCTTCCCTTGTTTTCTATTGAACTTATGATTCCTCTTAGCTTCTGTTCACGTGGGAAGAGTGCTTCACGGAAGTGCTTTACAACTTACGTAATCATGCTAAGACAACATCCAGCACTTTCCAATATGAAGAGAACTTGTTTTCGGACGTAATGAAAAGTAAAGAAACGGAGATAGTGCTGTACGGAAATGGAAGAATTTGGAAATGATTCGGAGCACGAGGAGTAATTGATCCCCCATTTCATATCTGTGAATGCGATTGCGAATGCCCCAAATAGCTCCCTGAGATTTAAAGAAAAAACAATGGAAGAGCTTCGTTATGCTCTTCTTAATATTAAACGAAGGGGAAACGTAACGGTGGAAACGGAGTTTTCCTGAAAGGTATGAAACTGGTTTATAAATCTGTATTATAGCAGTTAATGAGAAATATAAAACCAGATAGTTGAAACTCAGGCTGGCTTGTAAGAAACAGAAGAGGCGTGCAATGCCATTGTCATCAGAGTGAGAGAGACGAGAGAGAGAGAGAGAGAGAGAAGATGCTTATGAGTGGAAAGCTCTTGGAAGCAGGCTGGCCAATGCAATCTTTTCCAACAATTTAGTAACTGAATACTCTAGCCTTTATTTTTCTCTCATTGAAGGCAATCTTGGGAAAAGGTGACCCAATATGTCGATTCCGTCACCATGAGTGTACGTGTGATGTAATGATGTTTGTCAGTTTACTGTTTTTATTTATTATTATTATTATTTTTTAATTCATGGGTTTCTGCGCATTGGAATGAGCTCCGCCATCTGGATTGCATTCATCCAAACCTCATGATGGCTCAATACATGCACCCACTCACTGGGACTCAATAGGTTACGTGTACGTAAAAAAAAAATGATCTTGCCACATTTGGGCTCGAGAGAAATAAATATCAAAGAGTACATTTTCAGCTGACCTCTTTGGAATGTTTGGAAATCAATGCTATACATGTATTATTGCACTTCAGTCATGTATGAAAATAGGTCGGCTGACAAAGGTAGAAAAGCTCTTGAAACCAAAGATAGAAAACCCAAGATGAAAATTCCAACTTATGTCCCTTCAGACCGAAGAGTTCCATTCGGCATCTCAGATAGAACCCTTCGATTTGAAGACCTAGGGCCCAAGGCTATGTATTCGAGGAATTAGAGTCTTTTCAGGTTTTCGATTGATTCATCTGGTTGGGCACCTGCAGGATGTCCAATAAGAGCCGAAACCATGCATTTTACTATTTTTTTTATTTAGAGAATCGTCTTTGCAAAAGTGAAAAAAAGCTTTCAGTCGAGTCCCATATCTTACTTGATTGCTCTCTGAGTTTCCTTCCAATTTTGCTGATCACAAGAACACGACAAATAATATGTGATTGCGAAGAAAATGCCATATAGACACATGGGACTAGTAGAAGTTGGGATTTTTTTATTTATTCATGCCAAATTCTGAATAGAACCGGAACTGTGTCCTACTACCAGGAGGACACGGTTCCGGTTCTATTCAGACTCCGGACTTGGAACTCAGAGCTCTATACACTCTTCAACATCATTGTCTTTCTACCCGGATACAGCTGAAAGGAGATACGAGCAAACAATTTTTTCTTTCAATGATTGGCGAAACGACCGGAGAATAGAAAGAATTGGAAGGAAAACAGCCGCAGCTCGACATTGGACACCCTACAGGAGTGCTTAGTCTTACGAATACTGAGAGTGGAATGAACGGAAGAATGAGTGGAGACTCACGGCGAGTCCAACTTCGGGAACGGTGTAATTCCCATACTGGGCGATGATGCACTGGGCCTTTTCGCGGAATTTCCTGTCCGTTTCTGGATCCCACCAGTCAACCAGGTTCCCATCCGGATCGAATTGACGACCCTGTTTTCCGCGGCATGCAATCACAGTCAGCGAAAGGGTAATAAATAAAACAGAGGAAGAGAGAGTAGTGGGTGAACGACCTGGTCATCGAATCCGTGAGTGATTTCATGTCCGATCACGAAGCCGATCCCCCCGTAATTCAGGTACCGCGGTCTGTCAGCTCCGAAAAAGGCGCCTTGAAGGATCCCCGCTGGGAATTCTAACGAGAACGAATAAAAAAGAAGAGAAAATGTCGAGATCCTTAGGCACTGGATGGAATGCAGATGCCGATATAGGTATTTTCATACGAATGCTGTTCTCCAGGGGTGAATAGAAGGCGTTGACGACGGCTGCCCTGCCGTGAGCGACCCAATCATTTTTATCCACTAATTCACGGAGTCGACGGAATGAGTAATTCGTGCCAAACAACGTCATATTCAGCATGTTCCGGTAGTAGTAGTCCGACGTCGTGTTCAACTGTGCAGATCGACAGATAAAATCGTTGAAAAAAATGTGGGGAAAGTCGCGAACGTGTCAAAAACTCGGAGTTTTCCATTGAAGTTTATGGGAAAACTCGTCCTTGATTGCTGGCAGATCTAGAGGAAAGGACTCACCCCCTCGTATAGCTCTGCGAGTTTCCCGTCATTGAGCAACTCCTCCGGGTAAGCAATGTGCGACTGGATCTTTGCACTTTTCTGCTTTGCGAGGGCCCTAAAACAAGATACGATGAACACATATTCGTCATAGAGTGAATCGAGGCTGTGCATGATGCAGAGCGAGAGAAAGAGACCTTGTCTTTTCGTCCATCCAATCGACCTCGTCCAAGATGGCATCGAATTCCGCGCGAATGTCTTTCACCATTTCGAGGGCGGAATTCTTCGCATCTTCCCGAAAGAACCTCCTCACGTACATCGCCCCCAGCGCATTCGCAAAACTGCGTCACAAATTCACATACTGTAGAGAATACATTATATACCGACCTCCTCTCTATGGCTGTTTTTTGGGCAAGGGTGAGGGAGAACATGAAAGGTGGCCCAATAGAGACTGAAAAAAAAAACAAAGGGAAGAGCGCATGAAGTCAGTGTCCATGGGATGACTGTTGGTAGACCCGAAAGACGGACTTCCACTTCACTTTACGCTGCTAGATGGAAGCTTAAAGCAGCAGTAATCGCCCAAACTTCTAACACACACACACTAGCGTGCTTCGCACTAACACACGCATTCGAGAGTCTCACTCTTTTGTCAAAGGAAAAAAAAAAGTAAGTAAATAAACCTGGGTGGATTCTGAACTTGCCCCCGGACCACCTCTCATCCTCCACTTATAGCACCACTCGTAGCAAAAACCCGTACCTAAATGATGCTCACAAATGGAGCTATTGTAAAATATTTCGAACCTGGAGAGGACGATGCCCATGCATTCCTTCCAGCGGGGTTGCCTTTCTGACTGTCCGGTGAGTTTCGACGAGAATTCCAGCTGGATTTCCCGAGCATCTTCTGTCAGGAAGGCTGCCGAAGCCGCCACGATCCTCCATATGGCGTAGTTCGCCATCACCCTAACCACGCATTCACAATATGCAAGTAATCTACATTCCATTCATATTCCTAGTCAAACGTATCCCTTCTCATTTACATTGTGACTGGATAATGAAATGCTATTCTTGAGACGTAAGGGAAGCCAATTTTGGATAATCACTCGTTGTGCATGATGTTCTACGTTTCGCGATTCATAAATTATTTTAAAATATAATCGTCGGCCATGACTGTGTGGAAAACTGAGCTGAAAAACACAGAGGTACATGCCAGAGTAATCCATTCGGAATCGTAGACATAGGTATTCACCTCTTCGGTGTGACCTGCAGAGCCCCAGCTAGCTTCTTGATGTATTCGGGGACGTCGATGATGACAGGTTCCTCGACGGTCACGTGATGGAAAGGGGTCAACATCTCGTTCACATACTCCAACCATGGAATACTCGGCCATTTCTTCTCTAACTCTCCGATCGTCATCTTGTTGTACAACTTCGTCGCGTTCCGCCGCTCCTCGTCCGGCAGCGAGTACTGCATTTACATATAAGCAAGAAATGTCCACGTAAAAAGGCGTCCCTTTTCCGCATCAGGGCCACTTTGCTGTTCAATACCAGACTGGGGACGTTTAACCTTGGCTGTTTTGGCGGGAGCGCTTTGTTTGTGACGTCGTTTATAGAGCTCGTAATCCAACTGGCTGAGAAATGGTTTAATCAAGATTGCTAAGATCACTGAACTCCTCGGTGAAAGTTCCTCCGACTTTATCAGTTCTACCTTCAAAGACGGAAAACGTTACGAGAGTCCCAATGCGGTTGCGAAAAAAGGTGAGACCGTGTTGGAAGGCGGACTGACCGACAAGTGGTCGGCTGGGTCTGACATCCTTCGCGTGTGGACAAGAGAGCCCCAATTCGTGACACACATGTCGATGTCCAGAACCACCTGGCGACTGTCTTGCGTCCATCATCAATAACAGGTTGGCGCTAGCAACTAAAAGGTAAAGCCTAAATCGGCCTCAATTTCCGCAAAAGCTTTCGGCTTCCGGCGGAGTTACCAATTCATCAACCGATTGTCTTTCGCGAGGGAGAGAAGGTATTTGATTTGGCGGAAGGAGGTTTCGTGCTCTATACCAATGGCGACCCAGCTGTTTCAAGTATAGATACGGCTTAAATCGGTCAATAAGTTTAGAAAATCTTGTTTCCATAAAGCCGAGTCTTCTACCCTTTCCCTGGCTTTTTAATGAAGTTGTTAGTCCACTCCTTCGCAGAGCAAATTTGCCCTTGGCATAAGATCTGCTTAGACTTTTTCCCGCGAAAAGGTTCTATAAAAGTTTGAGGAAAAGAGGAAAACCTTACATTGGAGAGAAGGATTTCGAACTCGAGGGCTTCTCGGAGTTCTTTTCGTGCTCTTTCCGGCTCGGCACCGAGAAGGACGGCGATTTTCACCATGTAATGGTAGTAGGCTTGCACGTCATCGTCGTCCACGCCTTTCATGAAGTATTTCCTGGCCAGACCCAATGTCGGCTGGTCGATCTACCCCACCAACGAAAATAAGCACATGCCGTTAATTTGTGAAACGAGTCCTCTTAAAACAAGGGTGAAAAGGAAAAACAAATATAAAGAAAGACTAAGAAAAAATACATAAAAGAGCTATGATAGGTATCACATAAGTGGAAATATGCGATTATAGTTACATGTGGACGTTGGCACAGAACTTGAGGGAATAAATTAGATTTTAAAAAGAAATGAAAAGGACAGGTGTGAGAACATACATCGAGAATGCGCCAGGAAGAGTTCTTGATGTCAGTGACAACGGAGAAGTCGATGAAGTAATCAATGGAGAATCCCATATTCCGATACTTGTAGATAAGCCCGTTCCAGGAGAAACTGGTCTCATTCCAATCCGCTCCCCGCACAACGGGCCACCCGCCGAGATCATTGAGGACCTCCTTCAGGGCATGCAGTCCCAACGCGTTCACTTGGGCTGTCCGACATCATTCCAAAAAGCATTCACTCTTCATTCATACACGGGAGAGCAACGGCATGTATAGAATCGTAGAAAGTAATTTCCAAAGATTACACTTTGACCAGACCGACGCACATCATGATGGAAATTACAGTAATCGTGACCAAGTGGAATTTCAGCGGTGGAAGGTTAAAGGAAAGGGTACAAAAAATGTGAAGGATTACTTCCGTTTCTTTATGAATTTTAATTTTTGCGAATAATGGTCACTGGTGCCCTCCCAACTAACACTATGCAGATGGAACGTTTCCTTCATGTTGTCACTGTTACCTATGTTGCAAATTGATAACGAAATTGACCCAACATTGCTGTAACATTCAGGGCAAATTTTTCAATTTTAGCGCTTGGAATGTTGCTGAGACACTTCTACCAATGTTATTACAACATCTGCTATCAATACTGATAGAATGTTGAAACAGTTGACATTGATCTATTCGTCGGGAATTAAAAAAAAAAAGTATTCACCGATGAATGCATTTTTAAAAACTATTTTCTCGTGTGCATATCAGCGAATTACGGTATTTGTATCTCGCGTGTCTGCAGAAGCATGGGGAGGAAAGAAAAAGGCACGGCATTTCGCGGAAAGGATATTTTAGATGATTCACGTTATCGCGGTAGAAGCAACGTGGATGGATTTCCGAGCGAACCACCATCGCATCCCCGAGAAGGCTTGCACAACCTTATCGGTTTCAGTTGATGTGGGAAGTGGGTCTACGATTCGTGGCACAGATCTCTCCTGTCTTCAGTATATTGCCTGAAAATCCTCCCTCCCCCACCCCACAAAATAGACTGCAAATAGTTAATTAAAAAATTGGGCATTATATAGACTTTTACACCAGACGTTTGGCACCACGATTAGGACAAACCATTTCTTTCTCGAGACTCCAGCAGAGGAACAGCCATACGCAAGAATAAGAAGAAGCAGAGGAACAGTGGCCACGTCAGGGAAAAAAAAAAATCCTCCCTGAATTTTAACCTCCCAGACCCAAAAAGACAGTAATCGTAGGTCGTGCTAAAGCGGATCATGTGAATGCTCCGCACGAAGAGTCTGTGGAGAACTTTGGGGCGTACCGCAGCTCCGAGGTCGTGATTAATGAAAGACCTCGACCCCGACCTTCCATCTTTCCTCCTGTGAGGGGCACGAGGGCAAATAACGCTGTCACTCGGTCGCGACCTGTGGATTTTCAGGGATCTCTATCGGCCTCCAGTTGCCTAAACGCAGACCATCCTACGACTGGATTCTCGTCAATTTTCATGTTTTTCACCAACCGTAGGAGCCGGGCAATACGAACGTTTACCGCCTGAAATTTCAGTGAAATGCCAGAACCTTCCACGAATAGCCTGGAGCATTGCAGGATTTATATCTGAAAATATTTAAGGGTGCAATATTCAGTATGTTCTGATATGAATTTCTTCTTCCATGGTTCTTCGAAGAATATTAGGATTAAATGGAGACTGCGGAAAATCGCGGCGGAAAGCAAAATTACTGAAGAAACTTTGCTATATTATTATTTCGCATCTAAAGCTTTAACACCACATGACGTCATCGAAAATTCTTTGTTACGTGCTAACCTAAATAACATGGTAATAGTTTTATATAGTTTCTACAGAAGCTGTCGGCGATCAAGTAAGAATGAAGAAAGAAAGCAGTTTACTCTTGTTCATGCACGAGGCATAGACGTTCTTGAGCATGACGAATGGCGGAGGTTCCGTTTCACGGATGGGCTCTTCCACCAAGAGTCTGAGGTTCTCTTTCAGTTGGTCGGCGATCTTTGAAAACTGGTTCACGGAAGTCTTGTCATCGGGTATGATGGTTTTGTCGACGAATCCCCCGCATGCAAACCGATAGAAATCGTTGCATGGCTCCTCCCGAGGATCCATGTTGTTCAGTATCTCCGCCGCTGCACGTCGAGGTGCGGTACATCATCAAACCCATTTCAGATATATAAATACTTCAGTTAAATTCAGCTTCTTAATCTGCCTAGTTTGTCTTTCATTCTCTGGGCTCTTGAATTCTCTAATTTTCTATTCTTCAAAGCATGCGTCTATTTTCATTTTCCGATTTTTCTTTTAGTTGTGATTTATGATAGCTCTATACATCTCTAATTTTAATGTCTCGAAGCTTTACATTCAAATCTCTTTGTTCAATTTTCCCTTTGTTTTAGAGCTCGTATGTTCCTCCTGCTATGAAAAAAAAATTATCGTTACGCTTTGTATACCGGTAGAGTATCTCATGCTATTTACAAGGTTTTTCGAATTTCCCTTTCTATTTCTACGGTTTTATCTGAACCGGTTCCATTGCGATGGAGGAGAAAGAGGTCAGGCGACGTACCGGCGAGGACGCATCCTTTGCTATGGCAGACGTTGTATTTCTTCCTGGACCCGTTAGTGACGGGCGGCTGACCGACTTCGTTGGACGCGGGTAAGGAATCCGAAGACTCCATGTCCGAAAAGAGTTTTCTGGCTAGGGGAAGAAATTTCGGCTCTCGTAATGACCTTGTCTTTCCTCGTCCTATCAACTCATCCTCTCCCTTTCCCTGCCCTAAAAGACACGGGGGGAAGAACCGAAGGGTGTGGGCCAGAAGAAAGAGGTCAAGAAGCGGAGGTCAGCAGTCAGCAGCAACCAAGAAGCAGCAGTCAAGAAGCGTCAACCTTTCACGCGTCTCGTCGTGGTTCTCGTCCGCTGTCTCTACAGTTATCTATGTGCATGACGTACACATACAGAGGTCAGTCCGTCCGCTGTCTTTGAGGAATAATGCATTCCAAAGCGCCTTGCATACGTCACTGCCATGCCGCTGGCTACGAGTACACAGGGTGGCTCAAGCACATTCCACAAAGCACACAGAGAGGTTTTAAAAAAAACGAGAACAGAAAAATGATAACGCTTTCTCACGTCTCTTCAGCTTCCTCCTTGGAATGAAGCAAGAAAGATTTCCTGAAACGCGGAGTTACTTCGTGATCTATTGGCAAAATCAGTGCTATCGATCGGCAGATAATAAGACTTCGGCTTCTGTGCTACACGGCAATGAACATCCTCGGAGCACAAAATGAGGATCATGACGGTAAGTCATGACGGCAAGACGTGACGGCAAGAAGCCACGTTTTTAAGCCCCAAAGGCAGTGGCGTATTTTACAGAGGGGCAAGGGGGGCAGCCGCCCCCCCTGGCGCCCCTGAGACAGAGCTTAGCGCCCCCTTGAAGGTAATACTTTTCTCCCCTGATATCGTTTGGGTGGGGTTTGGCGCCCCCCCCCCCCCCCCCCCCCCCCCCCCCCCCCCACCCACCCCCCCCCCCCNNCCCCCCCCCCCCCCCCCCCCCCCCCCCCCCCCGATCCTTCAGGCAAAATACGCCACTGCCCAAAGGAGAACGTAAGCGATACTCGAGCCACCCTGTGCGAGGGAAGAGTAAAGAGGCCTCTTTTTCGGGAGGGCCACCCTGCGCATGTATGAGAAGCAACTACTCCATGCAGCACGCCCAACATAAAATACAACCTTTCATGAAGCCATGCAGACGCCGAAGCTGTCAATACCGGTTTTCGGGATTTGGAGAGAGATGGGAAGAGAGACAAGGAGGGGATGGTCCACAAGAGCAAAGATGACGATGAAATGACACACCTGTCCCTTCCCCATCCTCACTAGAGTCACTCGAGTCACTAGAGTCACTTGATCCCAACCACTTCATCGTTTAAGACAGTCTCTCATCTCGTCGCCATTTTCATCCCCTTTCGACTATTCATTGTTGCAGGTCAAAGGGATTTTTTTTTGTCTCTGGTTTTATTTCATTCATCTTTTTTTTTTTGCAGTTTGGCTCTTTACCTTTTTTCTTTGCTGTGTCTCCTCTTTTTTTAAAATGTGGTTTAGGGATTCGGTCATCAGGAAATCATTAAGAGTCCACGTCCAGGTCAGAATACTTGTATGGGAACGGAATGGGGAGGAATCACCTCGATCAAACTTCACTTTCCTGCTATCCTAGTAAGGCTACAAATTAACACGTAATTGGACAAGGTTAATTGTAGAAGCATGCATTTAACACTATATAACTGTAAGACGGAGCCTCATTTAGAACAAGACTAGTCATTCCTTTTCCACCTAGCACAACAATCATCAGCAACTTATTATAGATTCTAGATGGAGCTGTTTTAATGCACACAGCGTATAGGACTATTCGGAATGGGGCCGATGGCCATTGATTGAGCCCTGGTGAAAGTATAATGGCGGAGTGCCAGAGCTTTAACTCTCTCTGAGAGAGAAAGAGAATGAATAAAAATACCTTGATCGTAAGTGAGGGCATGCTGTGAGCTATAGATGACGCCGGCGAGGGCGATCACGAGGACAATGACTAGGCAAAGGGCAACCGACGTCACCAGCACCAGATACCGCTCCCCCTTCGACCGCTTGTACCACCACGGTGTCCCACTGCAACATTTCAGGCGAAAACAGGTTAACCAACCGTGTAAGAAAACTCGAAGTCCGATATGTACCACATACCTTCGAGAAGAAAAAAGCAAACGAAAATTGCAAAAGAAATAGGGCGGCAGAGCAAATGTGATGTAATATAAGTACGGGTATGCACGCAGTCTTTGAGGGGGGAAGTGGGGCTGAATAAATGCAATATTGTCGGTAAATCCTCTATTTTTTTAAATTGCACCTCTTTAAAGTAAGGAGTAAGCTATCTTAGCGAAAATATATGGAAAATGTAAAGAGGGAAACGGAAAAGCAATATCTTTGGGTAGTACGAAAAAAGCCGAACCTGCGACGTAATTTGTCACTTATTCAAGCGGTTGAAACCGACGGGCAGGATAAATACTTAACGGTAACGGGCGTTAACCAGGGCTTAAGAAAGTATTACATGGGAATATTCTGGGGAATTATTAATAATGTATTACCTTTGCGTCTCCAAAGGGGGGAGAAGCTCGAGTTCCACACCCGTCATATCCCCATTCCTCACTCGGCACAATCTGAATCTGCACTTGAAATCTTTGCTTCCAATGGGTTTTATTAATGAAGTGCCAGTAAACTGTGAGCGTGGAGGACCACAGGGTTTTTAAGAGACATATAACTTAATACAATAATATCGTACTTTGTGTACTGATATTTGACCCTATCTGACGACCTTGACCTCTGGGAGTAAGAAGCATTCTTTAGGGCCGATTGATGTAGAAAAGATTCAACCTGGGCATTTCCTATGGGTTTGATCTTGGGCTTAAATTGCCCGAATTTAGCCTCCCGTTCATCAACCGACCCATAGTGCCTCATCTGCCTGACCAAATCGGTAACCCAGTTTCCATGTACCGTTAAAAATAAGCGAAGTTTGTTATGCTGACCCAAATGAGGTCACGAGGTCGTTTTCAGTCTGCTGGAGGGACTTTCCCATAATTTTTTGCTTAAAGAGATAAAGAGGTCAAATGGTGAGGATTCAAATCTAAATATTATGCTATTTCTGTCATAGGCGAGTTGATAGGGTCCACGCGAGGAAAATGACCTGGTTTTTATGCGTCCCTACTCACTGATGACAGGTGCTTCATGGATGACATTATGGTTAAAATAACACGGATGAATACACTATGGAGGTAAAACCTCGAGATGAGATGGACCTGGGGGGATCCACGAGGACCAATAGGTCCCTCCTCGATTCTTCCTCCTCCTTCATCATGCTAGCACAGGCAGAATTCTAATTCCGACACCTTTATTCACTGCACGCGCGAAAAGACCTGCGACGAAGACGCATCAAGCCTGACAGTTTCTCCGTCTCTCCCTTAAGAAAATTTATTGCGTGTGACATGGCACTTGTTCCACTCCATGGCCAGGAATTCCCTTCCATTCCATCACTTTCACAGTCAAGGAATTTTCTATTCCATCAATTTCTAGGCCTTCTCATTTTTTTTTCATACAGGCCCACTGAATTTCCTATTGATGGGTCTGCCTGGTCGCATCTCTCTTGGAATCAGTTATAATTTTAAAAAAGCCTAGTTTTCTTCTCAATCCACACCAGCATGAATGTCGGCAAAACTTTAATTACGAATCGCATCAGATGGAGGCAGATTCTCTCGATTCTTTAAAGGATTGCAAAGTTGGTGCCTCGTTCTGGGGCAGAGGTTTCTTGAGAGTTCCAGGAAGAAGGTATGAAACAGTAAAAGAAAGGAGGGGGATGGTGGAAATAATTGCACCTTGTTGTTGACTGTCTCAGCAGGATAGGGGAGGGGGGGGGGGAACTCAACTAGTGATGCAGAGGATTTGAAAAGATACGGAATCTGAGGGCTATATATACAATGATGACTGAGGTGAAAGGTGATGAAGAGCCTCTTAAGTCGGGTGGGTCGGTGTTCACTGAGAGACGAGCGAGAGACGAAGGTCATATCAATCTGTTTTACATATGGTATATTTATACAGTACTGATAGGGACTTAAGCATTCCAAATACGGCAAAGGACTCCTTAACCCTTACCTTAAGAAGGGGTCCTGCTCAGTAATTCCCACAGTTTGAACTCTAAATAATAATAACTTTTTTTTTTAAGTTGTTCTGTATCATACTTTACTGTACTGTTTCATCGGGCTGTGTTTCACTTCTACCGCTTTTCCGTCATATTTCATCTTCGCACTTTGCATTACATCTTCATTCTGTGTCTCGACCTCCTTTTTTTCTAACATCTGGCTCACGCATCAGCCCTTGAAGCTACTTTTAATTTCTTCTCACATTCATTCATTCATACCTTGTTCTCATTAGTCCTGCCTCAAGCCGTGCAGTTTAATATCGTGGGAGCACGAAGAAGAGATTTAAATTTAAAAAAAAAAAGAAGAGAGATGAAAGACAGATGTGGTCCCTGTTCGCTTGGCTTATATTTCACTTCTCTAGGAATGCAAAGAAAAATTGACTAGTTCGACCTTAACTTTTTTTGTCGTTTTGAGTGAACTATCAATCTTTTGAGTAACTTTTGAGTGGAATATCTCCAGGATCTAAAATAGGAGTTCACGGACGTACGTGTCTAAAGCCGAGAGTCCCATTACTCTCGTTCTTGAAATTCGGTAAGCTTTACCTTGAAAGTGCCAACAGCTGCAGCTTCTATCACGTCAGGAGGTAACCTATTCTACTCTCTGATCATCCAAAGAGAACGGAATCTCTGTCTCAATTTCTCGTCTGGTTTGGGTTTATGTATACCGCCGAACAAAATGCAGACGATATTTCTCCTGTCGCTATTATTCACGAGTTGACAATAACATATTATTATTCTAAACTTGCATCGCAGAGTAGCGCATTAAATTCTCTTTTCGTTGGTGAATGAATCGTTATGGAAATCCGCGAAGGCGATTTGGGCGACCGAACTCCTTTTTTGAGCCCATTGAGCACGAGACTCCAAAAATTGTCGAAAGCTTCTTTCTCAATGGTCAGAACAATGTATCCCAGTTTCCTAACCTATCTTCTTAAACAGTGTTTTGGCGCTATTGCTCATGCACAACTGGAAAGAGGATGCAGTATGCTGTTCAGTGATGAAATTTCATTTCCCTCCATAAAAGGAACTATCAGGTCATCCCATAAGTAATGTCGTTTTTTTCTCTGTTTTTCAAAATTAAAATACACCTGCATCGCATCAAGTTTCAATCAAGTATATATTCCCCTTCGTTCTCTATGACTCTCTGCCACTTTTCTACAAGCATTTCAATTCCATGTTAATAAAATTCCTTTGGCTTTGAAGCAAAAAATGCGGACAGGTCACTTTTGATAGCCTCCAAACTTTCAAATTCTTTTCCGTTGAGATAGTTTTGTAGACTTCTGAATAGGTGGTAATCGGAGGGTGCAATGTCTGGTGAATACGGCGGATGTGGAATTTTTTCCCAACCCAGCTCTTCGATTTTGGCACACGTGATCCGAGCGGTACGAGGACGCGCGTTGTCCTGATGAAACAAAACACCCTTGCGATTGGCCAATGAAGGACGTTTTTCCTGCAATGCAGCGCTCAAACTTTGGAGTTGCCGGCAGTATACCTCCGCTGTTATGGTTTCATCGGGCTGCAACAGTTCAAAATAAACAACGCCAAGAATATCCCACCGAACGCACAGCAAAACCTTCCTGGGGTGAAGACCTCTTCTTGCCTGCGGTACAGCAGGTTCCCCGGCACTAGCCCACCGTCGACGACGCTTAACATTGTGATAAAGCACCCATTTTTCATCCCCAGTAATGAGTCGATTCAAAAACGGCGCTTGAAGTGTACGAGAGTGTAGGGAAGAGCAAATGTTTACTCGATCCCTAAGATCGTCTGGTGACAACACATGTGGAACCCACTTTCCAAGTTTTGACACTTTTCCTAGCCGTCGCAAGTGGCGGTGAACGGTGGAATGGGTGGAATTGAGCTTCTGAGCAAGTTCTTCAACAGTTACAGCAGGATCTTCATCGAGTGTAGCCACCAGCAGTTCATCATCAAACTCAATAGGTCGCCCTGAACGTGCTTCACCGGTTAAGCTGTAGTCACCAGACCAGAATTTCTGGAACCACCTTTGGCATTTCCTCGTATTCAGAGCTTCCTCACCATAAACACTTCGAATGTTTTTCGTGGCAGTAGGCGCGTTATTCCCTTTCTTAAATGTATGTAATTCTTATGTATTGTAGTATCATGTACCATTATTTACATTCCCTTAGAATAAGCGATTGATATATAAAACAGAGGAGCAAACCAAGAAGAGATCCTCGACGAACCCCTCTTAGACTTCGGTTGGTTAGGAACTTCTTCCATTAGTAAATACCCCTGGACTTGTGTTACTCAGTCAAGCCTCTATTCATCGCAGGATTTCCTTTGGATCCCAATGATGATGGTTTCAGCACTAATCTTCTGCAAAGGACCGTACAAACACGTTAACGGAATCTAAATAAACAACTCTACCGAAACACATGTGGTCAGTCACTTGGTCAGAGAGACTTTGGCAAAGTGTCAGCAAAGCCCAGGCCTCTTTGGAGTGTCTCTGTCCGGGTTTGGCAAGATGCATGGATGCTGTCAAGGAGCGAACATGTTCCTCATTCATTTTAACCCCCTCCCCCCATTGTTTCTGGCGTTGTACTACGTGTTTACTGGAGGCACCCCGTAGAGGGACCACGTGACAGGCGGAAGATTGACGTCATCCCCATAAATCCAGGCTCATAAAAGGTAATTTACGGTTTGTAACGCGAAACGAAACGAAAACTGATTGCTATTTTGGTATCCTACTCGGCTCAATGACGCACATCCCGACTCGTATCGTAGGATGGCTGCACACATCGACGGGCATTGATACAGAGAAAGGCGGAGAGAACTCCGTCTTTGGGGCTCTATTTTCCCGAATGAAACGGGAGAAGGGAATATGCGCCATCTCTTCAAGTTACGAGTATCATTTTCCCCTGGAAATTCAAGGGCATCTATGCTCTCGGGGCTAACTTCATGCAACAAGTCTGATTAGAATTTGTGAACCTGTAGCGTTTTGCATACGACTGTTACCTATTTTTCCGCCGGAGTACTTTTGTTAGGGGGGCGTATGCTGAAACGTTTCAGGGCTGCTACGATGAGCCTTTTCGCATTCCTATCGGTGGAAAATGAGGCCACAGCTTGCATTTCGGGGACTAACGATTACTTGGCTATTACATAGAACAGACCTGAGGGCATTTGGAGTATCATGCAACGAAAATCATAGAGGCAAAACAAAAGACGAGCGAGTCCAGTGCATGACGAGGAGCTCCCAGGCAGCTTCACGAATATAGATTCATAGATCGAATTTTCAAATTCAGTCCACAGCTGTATTATTTGATGGATCGAAGTTCCAGCACTTTGTGTGCTTCCGTGCCCTTGTGTTAGCGAAGACAAGTTTTTCGGGTTTTCTCTTTCCTTTGCCCAATCTCGTCACTCATAAACGCAGTGAATCGATGCAGTGAATGAGCAATCTTTTCACAGAACAAGCTAATTTCAACAATTTAAAATTGCGACAGTCATGAGCCCATGATGCTCAAGTGGCATCACTTGCTTTGAAACTTGTATTGAAGTATCTATTTTTTAAATTTAAAACTCTGCCTTTAACGAGTCTCCTTACTTAAATCTTCGAAAAAGAAACGAGCTGCTTTTCCAATAAAAAGCCACCAGTCTGTATGTTCGCGAAAAATTTGATCATGGTTCGCCGGAATATCATGCTTCAAGGTATAAATTATTTTTACCGCAGCAATGAAAAAAAAGATGAATTTGACATATATTTTATTTTTATTACGAGAACTACACCCATAGCCAAAACATTCTTTTTTTTTTCAAAACAAAAAATATAATAGTTTAGGTAAGGAAATCCTGATTAAGCAAGACGGTGGAAAGGCTGTCATGGTCATCTCTCCATTCTAAGGGTCTCAACGGTTAATCGTGTAACCGGTTAA